AAGTTCTTTTCCACTCAACTATTGACGCAATTCCCAGAGTTTTCAACGCTGCTTAGCGTTCTTCCGCGGAAAACTCGTATCTCGGTCAATGTTATTATAGCTATAGCAACATTATGACTGTGAAAAAGACCGTCGATGAGTGCATTAGAGCGGCGAGGTCTCTGCCTCTCAAATGGCTTGTCTTCGCATCTGCCAATAAATTTTTTGGAGCGAATCGGGAGTCCCTTAAAGCTGCTAAATGTGACCTATTGGCACTAGCAAAATTAAAAAAAAGTTAGTCGATCGGTCTCGAGAGAGATGATTTTGAGAAGGAAAATCATCACGCTGACATTGGTACTGCGTTCAGAGTTGCGCATGTGCCGACGTCGTGCCATAGTCGTGCCAGCGCCGTGTCAAGTGGATGCATCCCGTATTGATGGATGCGGAATTGGCATGTCCTTAGTTAGCGCCGACATTTTTGAATGCAGTCTAAACGCAATTACAGAAAGTTACAGAAGAACCTCATCGAGAGCTGGTGTGAACGTAAGTAGGTGATAAAAGCGGCCAAAAGCTGAGCGGTTTTCTCTCACTTTCATTTTTCCATCCCTCTAATGTAAATATTTATGAGTCATGGACAAAAAGCCTCTTTATTCTGCAGCTGGAATTCTCGTTTGGTGGACTGGGGCACTTCACATTTTTCTAGAAGATTGCTAAGATTTTTGGTGCAATAGCTCTTTAGGCCTTATGTCTTAAATGAAGCATTTTGTCCAATTAGATTTTGCTCTTAATCCATTTAAAAGCAAATCAACTTGAGATAAAAGTTCATATTACGGAGACTCTAAGTGCTTTTAACACATTCACGACAAGGCTGATTTTCGATTGCTGCCGTTTCGAAACAGAGCCTTTTTCGCTTTGTCAAGCTTACGTCCCACCCATGGGTCGTATTGTCCGAAATGGCAGAACACGTACGACCCACCGGTAAGTCCTATTGTCATGAATGTGTTGATAAATTTTTTATTGCTCTTCCGATCTAATGCTTAGGTGGATATTCTGGGCTGACCATGAAATAAGAAACAAAGTAATTCAATTTGATTAAACTTCGTATAATTGCACGAAAGAAAACTCAGGGTTAATCTCTTCCTTTGCATTTTGCATTTGACATGCGTTGGAATGTGTCCCGTTACTACGTGGTACAGCACATCTGCTGCTCCTAATTAAGTGCTTTTTTTCATTTCAAAGTTTTACACTGACTCATCGTGTCACGGTGATTTAGCGAATACACCCGAGATGGTCACGGATAAACTCGCGCATTGAAAACTCGTCCAAATCACCAAAGATGACTAAGGAACTGGCTCGAGTAGATCCCAAGTAATGCGGAAGCGCATTTAGCCTCTCGCTCTAGTGCTATCCACTTATTCCCTAGCCCATTCGCTGGTGATGGATTCAATTTGACATCGACACGATTTTTAGAAATTGCTGCCGTATAAGACTTCTCTCCTTGCTTCATATCCTTTCTTCCTTTCTCTTTGAACCATTCAAATAGCATCCATCGTAGCTGTTTGAGCTTGTAGAAAAGCTCATAGAATGTTCTGTTAGCCTACTTCCTAAGTGTCAAATGTATAACTTTCAAAAATCCGCAGTCAAGCATTTTGAATTATTTTCGACGTCAGTGCAATGTTTAGATCAAAACAAATAGACACACAGAGAACTTTTCATTTTCTTCGTTTTGTGCTAGTTTTGAAACCAATCCCTATTTGTATCTAATAATTTCATTAATAACTTTGCCAGCATCACTGATTTCACATTTTACACTTGTTTTATGTGTATCTCCTTTATGCTTTTAATCTATAGCATTTTTCATTCCTTTCTATCTTCTCATTCGTTTCTCCTACTTACGTACATAAGTATTCATACATTTTCCCTATTCATAAGTTTTCTCCCATACTGCTGTCTTGAATTCCTTCTCTGTTTATACAACTAGAATTTCCTGAATCTCTAGACCTTGAGGTCTATGAAGAATATTCTCAAAAACTGGCATATCCACTTCCCATATTTTCTCGCCTGTTTTTTCTTGATTTCTTGTTATTGTTTATATTTGCTTGAGAATATCGAAAATATTTTCGAGTGCGCAGAGTGCGTATGGGCACTTTCAGCGTTCGTATACCAACACATTCAGACATGATATGGTAAATATAGACCTGAATATCTATTCACTAGATGAAGGTCTCTGTAAGGTCAAAGTTTTTTGTTTGACGTTATAAGGTCATAATCAAAAAGAGAAGTTTGGAATTGCTCTTCAATCTCTTTTTTTTTGCTCTCACAGCTCACATCTCATTCGTTTTTGAAAGGAAAAGACTTGATGTTGCTACTCGTCAAGAATGGCAATCTGTAGCGAGACTAGCGTACAGTATCTGTATTCTCTCCCCCCCCCCCCCACTCCTCACATTTCTTTTTTCTTTCCTACCTGAGTACCAATTGCCAAAGTCTGGCTGCACATTATGATATTATATGAGAAGCAACACTTTTTCTTACCAGACTTTATTCCTCGAGTTGAATAGCTAAAGTCATTCTACAGAGTTTGGTAATTTCAACGCCAATTATGGTGGCGCTGCAGCGACAGCAGCTTTTCGCTTGAAAAATAACAATGGGACGCAAGTCGCTCCATGACCATTTTTTATATGCGGATTGTTACAAGCACGACAATCTTACCCGCACAGTTTTGTCTTCACCGCAAATGCACTATAGCGACCGTCACATTTGCTGGAAAATATACAAAAATGTTTGGTTCTCACACATCACAGCCAGCACATAAATTCTTAGAAAAATTGGGTCCTTCATGGAACCCCTCAGAGGACGTCTTTAGCTCTAGTACCAGTATAATTCCTAACAGCATTGAGTAGATCAATTTCGGTGGAGTATTTATTATTTACATTAATTCATACCGTTTACACAAATTTCTTTACTGACACTGTCAACATTTGCAGCCTTCGAAGCTATTATTCAACAGTAAACAAACCAAAAATAACTTTTGTTTGTGATAGAACGAAGTTTGTTTGAAGATCGTTTGCCAGAGCCGCCTTAATTTATTTTCTATGCTTTTTTGCTGATTTTCAGCTTTGCACGCGATCTCTTACGAGCAACACAGCTAAAAAGTACAAGTTTTCCCAAGATCAAATAAAAATTCACTCTAATCCCAGCTCTTGGTATATACATGTTACATTATTTTGTCTTGTTTTTCACAATGAAGCATAGAACGAAAGAATGAGAAAATTTGGCTAGGAGGTGAGCAAAATTTTCTCACGGCAAAATGTTGCCAATCAACCACCTAACACACTTCTATGCTCCAACTACCTCTTGATAACAATCCTGCTACAACATAGAGCCGACACGAGGGCAGGTTTGAGGCACTTATCCTTTCAAGAAGAACTTCTGCCATAGGATAAACGTCACTTTTTTCGTATACAAAAATTTTGAAAACTCATCCTTGCTGATCTATACAATCTACAGTCTTTTTGCACCACAATCAATTCTGACAGTAAACTAATCCACCCCTCCCCCGCCCCTTATATACCATTTGTCCTCTTTTGGCTTTTGACTTAAAATTTCTCTGAATGAGATGAAAGCATCGAATTATCTTGTTTTCTCAGAAATTTGAGCGACTGCTTATTTTCGAGAAATCGCATCAACTTGAGGAAACTCTTCTGAAGGAAAACTTGAGAGAATTCTCCAAAGTCTTGCGAGGGAGTTGTTGTTAGTTGTTAAGTTAAGCAAGAGACTGAGGGTGGTGCAAATTTTGGGAAGCTTTAAAGACATTGAATCTCAGAAAGCTGCTACACTAAAGGTCTTATAAGAATCAAGTGAATCTTAAAGATTATTTTTCGAAATTGGAGAACTTCAAAGCTTGATGAAAAATGCTGCAAACAAAGCACTTTCACTCTTTTGAGAAGCATGGACTTGATACGTTGACGACCGCGCCATTTTGGACAAACTTCACCAACGTTTCTGTCGCATTTGCGCGTGCATACGCGTGTATGCACAAAATCATAATGTGGGAGTCTTTCTGACGCATATTCATAAACATGCAAACTTCTTCTAGAATAACGTGTGTTAACGGAGTATTAACAGGTTGTACATATGTAAATTGATGTAGTGATGTATTTAATATGTTAATTTTTGAATAACTCTCCAATAAACCATTCAAGAGCCATGTCTGAAGAATTTCCCTTCGAGAAAAGTCTTAATATTAGGTTTTTTAACCTACTTTCGTTCTTGATAGCTCTCAAAATAGCACAATCTTTGGTTTTCCAGTAAAACATAGCATATATTACCACATTGAAAAAGGATTGAATACCGAAATTCGTTTAGAGTATTAGATAGCCATTGCGATACCTTATGTTTTACATGACAACCACACCACCCATATTATTACTGCATAGAAATTATTTACGATCTTTTCATTTACATATGAAAACTGGCGTGCATACGCTTGTATGCACGAAATTGCTAAATGGAAGTCAAGGCGTGCACACGTTTGTATGCACGGGTCGCCAACGTGTCAATACTTCGAAAGTTGGTAAATGTCGTAATACTCTGATTGATTAATTAGACTAGTTACTGGTTTGAGGTTTTCCTTGGTACCTATTCATGCAAGTATAACACTAGACAAAGAAAATCTTCAAGCTACGTTGTGTCATCCATTTTTAAAGGACGAAAAATATAAGTCATCTCAAAGTTCAGTGGATCGCAGCGGCTAGAAAACTCTCATTTTTACAGTTTGAAAGTTCAAAACGCAAGCCGCTGCTGGCAAAATTTGAGAAAACTGGAATCATTACCATGATAGTCGTGGTCGGTGTTATTGCGAGTGGAACTTTCGCATTCCTGTGCAGTCAATGTCACTGGGGTATAATGGCTCGTTGCAAGTTTTTTTTTCGCACAATACCTCATCCGTCTCATCGCAACACAACTCGCGCTGTTCCGTTCTCGTTCTGGAGCCGACACTTGATTCATCGACGTAATTTTCAGATTCACCCGTCGTCTGGCCTGTTCCCCGGGTAATCCACGAGTTTTACAACCGTACACATCCACGCGCACCGGCGAGAGTGAGAGTTCGCTCGAGAGGAGCACCGAACTGCTTGCACTTCTGCGGGGCAGGGGCGAACATGCATGTGCCGCCACAGCTGCTTCATCAGCTGCCGTTGCTGGCCATTTTCATCGTGCCCGTGACCAGTGCTTACTTTGGACTGCGAAGGATTAACATGAAGAGTGCCATACATTTCCAACAGGTAAATGCTTTCTGGTCTCACTTTTTAGACTCTTTTTTCATCGAACCTCACGCTCTAATATAATTTGTGTACGGGATTGATAAATCCTTACTAGTACGGGATAGTACGCTGCCTACGAGTCAAGAGTGAAAACGAAGCAACTTAGAGGCGTCGACTATCTCTCGTTAGTTTAATAACAAAGCTACTAATATGTATATGTAAGTTATCAACCAATAATGAGGTAACTGTTTTTCATTTTCATTTACATAGGAAACCCTATGTGAAAAATAGAAACTGAACAAACAAAACATGCCAAAAGGCACAATGGAACAATAAAGAAATAATTATCAACACTCACAAAGAAAAAGAACAGTATCGATTGTGAACATACAGATGAAGAAAGTAGATAGATCTTGAAGATGAGTTTGAAATGAGAAAGTTTAACTGGAAGGGTTTGCATTCTAATAAATCTGTCAAGTTCACAAGAGACTTAGATATGAAGAAATATTCTCATCATTTTTGCATCATTGACTTGTGGAATTCAACAATAAATGAAAATCATCTCATTATATGAGATGATGACCAACTATTGCCATCAGTCAATTTGTTTTCACACTATTTCGAGGGATGATTGGCGCCTCTAAGCTGTTTTGCTTTCACGTCGCGACTCATAGGCAGCGAATCTCCGCACGCCTGGTAGCAGCAACATTGTCTGCGCGAAGTAACCTGCTCGAGCAAAGCTTCCCTTTTGCAGACCATATACAGAATGTCGCTCTGAATCTAATCTTGAGTGATTGCCGTGGGATCCCTAAGCTTAATTTTGAACCATTTGCCCAAAAATAACTAATTTTTGTAGAACATAGGAAAAAATCCTGAGACATTTGAGCCCAAAATTGGCTATGCTATGATTACCGGTTAGTTACACAATTCATCAAGCTATGTATATTTCGTCAATAGCTTACAACAATTTCCAAATGAACGCACATGCTTTGCAATTGCACTATGCACATCCATTAGGGCTTTGAACTGTGAAACCTCAAAGAAGCTTGTTTCAACAAAAACCTTGCCAGCGAGCATAGATGCGAAACTAGACTTGGTCGCAAAGTCTAAATGCATTCATGTTGTGACGTGTCTTTCTCCACGACTCGTAGGCATCTGACTTTTTTATGATGACTTTACGCCTACGACAAATGTGATTATAAACCTCTCATATCACTTTTATACGTTTAGTGGTTAGAGATATACTAGGCTGTTGCATAAGTTCTGTCCGATTTTTTTGCCTCATGTTTGAAGCAGCTGTTCTAAGAGAATTTCATCTCTAATTCGATACGGTTGGTATCATTGAAAAGTGCTTTCCTTGCGCTTTCTAAAGCATACCAGAATTCAATAAAATTCTTAGGGTACGGAGATCACAGGCCTAAAATCTCTAAGTGGCCGAGGTACGTTCTATCCCTAGAAATATGTCCTTGCGAGGATATCTCCACAATGCGCCCTTCAAGTCAGGTTCTTTCATTGGCTTCGGAATAAGGGTATGGAATGCTAGTATATGCAGAAGTTCGGTCCCATGAAGAATACATCTTGCTAGTGAAATTTATCCTCGAACATAAATCTTTGGTATAGATGTTTTACAAGCTATAACTTTCTGCGAATAGAAGTAATCGACAAGCTCAAAGTTGGAGGTGCTAGGGCAAAGCAAGAGCTAACAGGGCCCATCCACCAATTCCTTTTCGGCGCTCACGTCAGTTGTAAAACGTTCGTAGTTCATAAATAGGCATGCACACACGTGCTGAAGCGAGGTCAAAAAGTGGCTAATTTTTTGTTCGGTCAAGAAAATCTCTCGGCAGCGCAAACCCTATGGGCTCTTTTATGTTGCATAATAATCTACGAAAATTTCTCTATCTATCCATTATTAGAAAAGATGCCTATCAATTTTCATAAGGGAGCGTTACCATGTCAAAAAAGACAGATTCGAAGAAAAACGCTGCGAAGTTTTTGCATTCTTGGTTCTTCCTTAACAAAGATTTGCGCAGATCTCAGTATGCATTTTTTAGCCAAGGGACTGCTCAACACATAGAGACTAAGAACTTGGAAAAAAGTTGACTCTGAAAGAAGTTATGACATTTTAAACTCAAAAATTCAAATCGGACAGAACTTACGCAACAGCCTAGTAAGAGCGCAAATGGGGAAATGATTTTTTTTGGCTAGACTGTAATAAGAATATTCTAATAACAAATTGATTTGATGTTGTGTACCTTTTTATTGTTTGATCGAAACCTTTTCCTTCCAGCCTCCAGCGAATAACACTGCTTTGTCTTTTTTACGTAGCATTGCATTCACATCGCAGATAGAACAAATAGATGTCTGGAATGAAGCACATAAATTCTGCAACTCTCATATCTTGCTCTCTCCAGAGCTTCATTTCTTGTATCAGCCACTGCCCATGTAAAAAGGAGAATTCAATTTACTAAAATGGCATCGTTTATCGGAAAATTGCACCCTTCTCGCTACCCTTTCCTTCTCGCAAATGTACGCATTAGTGCAAAACTCTCTCATTAGTTATGGATTATGCCCAGTTCTGCCATGTTTTGCAGATTTTGTTCTCATATTGAAACGTGGAATCCCTTCGATTATTTTGAACCAAACAGTTTAGTATATTTTACAATTTTACAAGGCGCATCTATAGTTGCGCTATGAATTGTTTTTGCTTTTGCATTACACCTTCATGCTTCTTTAGTAGACGAAAGTCTCTTTACACTTGAACTCTTTGTTGGCTCTGTCGTAGGCGCTTTTGCATGAAAGCGGCGGTGAAGCATTGACGGATGAACGTAAGTGTTTTCTCGAATTTTCCTGACATCTCTTGGCCCAATAATTGGAAATTTAAAGAAGTTTGTACTGGGCCTGTTCCAAATCTACCCCGTTCTGTACCTCTTTATGAGCGGCCAATTTTCGTGAAAAAAGACCACTTTTATGAACAAAACTTGAGTAATTTGAAAGCGCTTTCTTTTCAGTTTTTCATACCTTTCGTTTTCATACTGCTTTGTATTATATTTGTAGTTTTGTACCTTGAAAGGACAGCGAAACAAATGTAAAAGTTTTCTTTTGTTTTACTTCCGTGATATTTGAACCAGAAAAGGAAAGTTCATGAAATAGTGTAACGTTTGCGGGGAGTTGTGCTACCTTATGCTTAGCAAGATATGACTTTAGAAAAAACCTTAATTCATAAATTTTTGACATAAACATGACCTCTCGTCGTATTCCTTATTGATCATACCAAAATTATAAGCACAGTGCACAAACTTTTGCTTTATATAGTGAGACTAGGCTCAGAAAAATACTAGGAAGAGGAAAGAATCCTCTCACTATCAGCGGTGAAAAAGACCAGAGTATCAAAAAGTGCATTTTCGGCCATATCAAAATGTGTGAAATAAGTGGGTCCTTTCGGATTTTTCTGCAGAAAACTTTTTGACAAAATTCGGAGAATCCATTGTTAGCAGTACCGCTCATCCACTATTGACTACACAGTTGTAGTGCTTATGAAATTCCACTATGAGCAACTCAAGTCATGGTTCTTCAAAGTAGAAGTTCCATAGAAAGGTGTATGGCAATTTTTGCCGTAATCTTCCGCGTTGTTGTTGCAATAATTTTTTGAATGCATAGAGTTTCCGGAAATTGTAGATTGTAAGACACTCAATGCGTTCTCAATGAGCATTTCTAAGAAAAATTTCATTTCTAAAAGAGTTATGGTGAATCATACTTGCATCTCGAAAACGTGTAGAACTTCCGAAACAACCCCATGTTTTGCTACAGTACTCACTCTCAAAATTACAAAAACATAAACCAAAGGTACTATCTGCTCCGCTAGCCAAATGTAAATTCCCCAGCTCCCTATTTGCTCACCAATTCATCTTCACCAATCTTGCTTCCTCTGATGGATGTCATGACAACACGTGCACTCTTTCAATTCACTCCATAAAACATTCCGCGCTCGCACGTGCCAGTCTCTGAGACCCATTACCAGTCCTAAGCGAAAGTATTTCCAACGATACGAACAAGCTTATAGCCCTCTTCGGTGCATGTTTGTGCCGATTATCTATCTCTGAAAAAATTCTTTTTCTTTTTCAACTTTCCTTAACGCCACTTCTAATCAATTATCGATTACCGCAGCTTTGTTGCTGTTGTTAGCTCACAAAACAGCTTCTCTTAATGTTTGTGTGCCTTAATTTTGATGTGATACATGGAGTCGTTCTGTTTTCAAGTCTAAGTTCATATCGTCATAAAATCTATAATCTTACCAGCGCCTTGTATGTCGCATTCGTCCGTCAATAATTCCAAATCAATCGATTATCGATTAGTCTGGTAACTCTGTTTTGGCTTGCAATGTATTCTCATCTTCTGTCACTTTTGACCAGTTTTCCTGTTATCTCTCCTGTAGCGCAGGCTAGTCCGACCATCTGCAATATGAAGTAGGAAAGAAACAAATGAAGGGGTAATTTGTAAATTTTCCTTTCTAAGAAATTCGGTGACCACGAGTTTAACATATTGACGACCGCTTCACTCACACACCATGTGTGTCAAGTCTTGAATTTTGTTAAAATGGCTACTATCCTGGGATAAACTCACTCCACGAGCTTTTGCACTAAATCTAAGGATGACTTCTACCTTTTTTGTCAGCATTTCACATCTACTGTAGGTATACTGTAGACGGCAGTATGCGTAATTATAGTTGAAAAATGTGGGCTGGTCCGTAAAAGACTTCGGTCCCAGAAGGCAGAAACTAAATTCTGCATGGTCATCAATGTGTTGATGTTGTAACGTCGTAGTAAAGAGTTTATGGGTGGTTGACTTCGGTCCTAAGCTCATGCAATGTTGCAGAGTGTTGATGCAGCATGTTCAAGATATCTAACAAGGGAAAGTTCCCAAATCAGCTCGGCCAACCCGGATGAGTCATATATCACTGTAACGGGCTTGAAACGCTGATTCCAAATCTGCTTTCCTTTTCTGCGGAGCGACTTTCCGAGGGAAGTCGTGAGCGTTTGAATGTCTAAATTTGTCATGTTCAAAGTGGCTTAAAATCAGTCGAAAGCTGTAAAACAACACCTAACGGAATTACATTATCTATGTTCTGTCCTTTAATCAATATACTTGATACAAAACTGATAAATCACTTTCATGTGTTATTGTGCAGGTTTCGCCAATTTTTAAGCCACTTAAAACATGACAAATTTAGACATTTAAACGCTCATAATTTCTCTCGGAAAGTCGCTCCGCAGAAGGGAAAATCAGATTTAGAATCAGCGTTTCAAGCCCGTTACGAAGATATATGACTCATCCGGGTTGGCCGAGCTGACTTGGGAACTCTCCCTCGTAAGTAAGAATATTGAAAAGAAACCTAGGGCGAGTCTGTGGAGCTAATGCCTCTGAACAAGCTATCTCATCCAAAAACACTCCGTCTCGTTCGATTTGCGCAGTGCTTTTTGTGCATGAAATCTTTAGCGAGGCTGTTATTACCGTCAATATCCGTTAAGCCGCCCATAGCCGTCATGGTCAAGGTTTTACACAAATTCATTAAGGCTTCGTAGAAAGTCGAACATAACTTTTTGTAATCTGAAGCAGCCTGCGATAGATGTACTTACCCGAAAGAACTGAAGATTTTAATTATATTCAGCGCTGTACGTAGACCCCCCCCCTCACTGTGTCATCTCCAAGGCATTGGCAAAACTGTATTTCAAAGGCTGGGTTCATACTGATCCGTAAGTTCTGGAACAGTTCCAGCACAGCGCACAATTCGCGCTGTTGGAACTTATGCATGAGTATGAACCCAGCCAAAAGCGTGAAAATCGGTATCCCAGTATGTGGGATACCTCCCCTCCCTAAGCGCAAAGAAGTGGCTGTCTACAGCAGGCTGGAGAAGCTAGATTGGTGCTCGAAGCATTGCGTCTGTCCGTTCATCTATGACCCTTTTTATTAAAAATGGGAAAACGCCCGAATTGTTCAAATTAGCACGTCAAAGCTTTTCACGTTCGGGTTTTTGCGCCAACCGCAGCAAGCTTCAAAACAACAGAGCGGTTTTGTTTTTGACCGCTTAACTGCTGAGAAAGCTGCTATCAAGGTTTGCTAAGTGGGCGAAATTAAGTTCTAGGTTTATACGCTCAAACAGGCTCTAAATCGCCTCTCACGAGAAACTACCCAGTTTGTGATCCATCTTACACCTCACACACTGCCTCCCTCATTCCCCATTCTCTAAGCCTAGCACTTACGTAACGAATGCCACTATGAACTCGCTGGTTATCTCTTAGCACTCTGTCGTAAGCAAGCAAAAATCCAGCTCTTACCTTGTGCTGGTTTTTGACGAGGTAACACAGCACAGCATTTGCTTCATTTTTTCATTGGGAGCTCATCCATCCAACTGTTCTGCTAGTCGGGGCTGCACACAATCATTCTAACAGCTAATTTGCCCCCCGGAACCTCACTCGCGAACCTTTCTATCAGAAATCATATTCTAAAGTAATTTGATTTTCTGTATAAGGTTATAATCATTTTGGTCGTCTTTCTTTTGCTTCCTTTCTTCTTCCTTTCTATCTTTGCTTACTTTTGTGCAGTAGTGAGGGAGAAAAGAGGATCTGTTTGCAAGAATGGCGGAGGGGCGGGGGAGTGAGACAGGGAGGGGGATATTTGAAAATTGAAAATTATCAATAAAACAAATTGAATCAAAATTAAATTTGAAGATAAAATTAGTCAAAAACTAAAATTTTCTTAGTGCTTTAGCACGGTGCTTGAATAAACTAAAGCTCAAATTTTTTGAATAATGAACTGAGTCGTTGAACTGTATGATCTCCCATTTACGAAGTCCTTATGCCAAACTTCTTCCTCCCTCCCCCTCCTCCCCCCCCCCCTACGCTCCCCTTTCCATTCTCCAGGGAGCAAATTCCACCGAGGGTTTTTGCTCCCTGACAATTTTACGCTCATCCTTAGCCGAAGTCAACGATGACGAAGACGAAGCGATCCAACCTTGTCTTTCACGGGAATAGCCTTCATCTTCGCTTAATGCACGAGACAGAACTAGTTTTTAGAGGGGCCTGATTGTCTCACTCACTATATGACATGATCGAAACGGAGCCACTCGACTTACTTTCCATATCTGAGGTAGGGGCTGACAACGTAGAAAAAAATATCAAAAATCACATTTACAAACCTGTTTCTGGTGAAGATCTAGCAGTTTGAATTGCCCTACAAGCGCGTATATCCCAAATTATAATGATAAGTCTGCCATCATGGAAGCTAGGTTTTTGGAGTTCAAATTGTGACTGCAACAAAACTGCAAGGAGATAAGGTTCTCTGTACGGTAATTGAGAGCTTAGTAAGCTCTTTTACTGAACAAAATTCCCATTCTTAGTTTTATATGATTTTTTGGATTTCAATATCCTTTGGCGCTTTTGAGCAATGTGAAGCGGCCCTTTTCTCCAACCCTTGCGTGCAGTGAAATCGTGCAACTTTCCATATAGTATTTGAACGACTTCTTTAATAGTCGGATAATATATAGAAAATTCATTCTTTGAGAGAGCCAGATCTTGCAAAAGAAATTTCAGAATTCGGGCAGACTTGCCTGTAAGCAGACCTGTCTGCAAGATTTGAGATAATTTCTTGGGTTCGACTGTGCAGCTCTAATGGTGACATCAAAACGTAATTTCCCAAAACTTTGCTTTACTCCTCATTAAGAGTACACTAACAAATTGCCTCTCAATGGTATTACCTCACCCATCCATCATCTCTGCGAGTGAACTTTGTCAAATGTCAAATGCTCATAAACAAACGGATGTTACACACCAAACTCTGCAAAAATGCCGGTGCAAATCACGGCATTAGTATCTAGCTTTGAATTTTGTCATTATATATCATCTGACTGAATCTTGAAAACGAAGTTTGTTGAGAAACAAACTTTGTTTTCAAGATTCAGCATTTCAAGATTCCTTCACTTCACCGCTTCCATATAACTTTTGTGAATTGCCTTAATACAGTATAGTTACTGTAACTATACAGTGTAAGCAACAGGGGACGCCAAACTGCCTGCGCTAGTTTTAGAGTGCTAATAGGGTATGAGACGGGCTTGACAACGGATAAAGCTAGCATTTGTTTTCTCCAACTATCATCCGTAAAGTAGTCAAATCAGAATTTGCTACTTTATCTTACGAGGACATCTTAAATCTTCTAGAATGTACTTATTAGGAGACGAGGCATTACAAATTTATATGATATCTTTCTAGAGAGCTTTCTCTTGTTTCGAAGTTGCCATCAAAGTTGAAGTGACGCGACTAGCTCACATTAGATGGAGGAAGCTTTCTCCTTCGATAAGCAGAGGGATTCGATTATTCAAAGACATGGCTGCACATCGGCATATTAGAACAATATCTTGGCCTTTTAAAGTGCGCCTGAAAAGCAGAAAATGTTTTCTCATTTAGTTTTGAACCATTTTGCGAAGGTCTATCTGATTATGTTATCTTCTACAAATATTAATAGGGAATTGGTGTTGAATGTTTTCGAAAAATTTTGGATTTGCATGAATGATTCACTGATTTTGAACAAAAAATTGTTGCTCTTACGCAAGCATCTTTTGCAACAAAAAAACTGCGTATAACCTGAAAGAACAGCTTCTTGTGGGCCATACGGCGAATGTATTTACAACTCGTGCTCAGTCTAAAAAGGATCTGAGTCTATTCGCAGCGTTCTCTGAAAAATGCAAAAAATAAATTTGCTGCTTTGCGCTTTTGTTTCGAAAATATAACGTTACCAAAGATATTTGATGAAGTGCCACTGCGCCGCATTCTCTCTTTCTGACAAAATTGATGGCAATAAAAAGAAGTTGCAATTTTTCAAAAATGAAGGGACGGGAGAGTGATAACTCAATATAGAGTCATTCGAGCCATTGTTGAGCAGAATAAAAAATTTGCGAAGTACAATCTGCACCAGAAACTTTAATCAAAACCACCTTATGAACCTTGCAGACATACCGACATTTTTTAGGGAACCCGAGGCTCTTCGGCATGGCGTGCTGCACTCACAATGAGTACATTGACAATACCATCATTTGCGTTCTGGTAAGTGCTTTTCACACCTTTTCAGTGGCCTTGAGCGCAGTTTCGGACTAAGGAAAAGGGGTTCAAGGCTTACTTTTTTTGAAGTTAGATCACAAAATTCTTGAGAACTGGTTCAATCCTGTAAAATTTTAAGTGGCATAGACTTGCTTGAGAATGATTAGTATAGTATACTCATTTCGATTTCAGAATCTACGCTGTAAAAATTTTTTGGGGCCTTAAGGCTCAGAAAATCTTGGAAAGCATCTTGTTGAATCCTTAGGAAGAAGTGACTAATGTTACGCGTACTTTCAAACGAAAAAGTTTCTGTTGTTCCCTCCCCCCCCCCCCCCCGCTCCGCAGCCAGAGCAATACGTCCAATGAGAGTAACGTAAATTTCAAGGGTAACATGAAATGTATTGAGTTGTTTTCGCGAGAAATAGGGATTTTATCAAGATTTTATTATTGTATTATTATTTTATTATTGCTGAACAATCAGAACAACCCAAATCTGCTATCAATCGCAATAAATGGCGTAGGTATATATATAACCGCAATATTTTAAAACCCATCGATATCAGATCTTTGGAAGGGCACTCCGAGTGATTATATCAAAATCAACGTATCGTGCTCTGAAAATGCATCTTTGTGGATTTCTTTTTAAATAATCCGCTTTACTATGCTCTTTCAGGTGCTTACTAATGCGTGGGCCATCAGCAATGGCTTATCAATTTGGATTTTCATTGGCTATCGTGGTAATTTTCTGTTCTGTAGCTGGAATACTTCACTATGTGCCTTCACCGAGTCTTTTTGCCTACCCACAACTTCGATTTCAATCCAGTAACTGTGAGTGTTTGAGTCTCTTTTTTCCATAACTAGACTAGAAATCTTCAGTTATTTTTTTGGTTCCTTTACACTTATACCCTTATACTGTATCACATTAGTCCTACAGTATTCCTACAGTGTTCTTACAGTACGCCTGGCGCTTTCGATACTGCAAACAATCGTCACATTTCTCTGTATTCTGCTTGTGCTCCTGCATTCGTCGTCACTGCTCGCGTCAGTGTCGCTCTTCACGCTCTACCTCTGCATAGCACTCGTCGCATTCTTTCCATTATTCGCTGTGGTTTTCTCCGGATATTCATGTATTATGACGCTGTCTTTGCTTCTACATATATTCGTGAGTTAACTACATTTACTTATACCTTTTAGGTTAAATTTTTGCATAAAATCAAGAGGTACGATCGTATTATGCCATTCAAATCACTACTTTCATTGTCAATTGTGACATTTCCACATTTTGGTACTACGTTTTCCACAAACTTCCAGTAAAAGAAAACTATTTCACGCTTAGAGCAATCGATTTCATCAGATTCAGAAAGGTCTGGCTTTGACATTGTGCATTTCTTGCATTTTCTGACTTTATTGACTTTTTTTACAGAATTTTTTGACTTTGTACAGAGAAATTATTTATCTCAAAGTAAGTTGAGCGCGTTTCCTCTTGTTAGAACCTAGAGTTTTGTACATTTACATTCATTCCACCATGTTCCACGCTTCTTTTCCTTCCTGTTGTCATACGGTAGAACTACGGTAAAAAGCGACTTTAGCCGGAGGATAGCATCCATATGCTGAAAATTCGATTTCGACTCTGAACATATTACGCCGTAACGGTAAAGAGATACATAAAGATATGCTTAATTAAAAATCTTAACGAAGCTAGAAAGTTGGGTCACAGACTCACACTCGCGTACGACAACATCTACCCTTTGATTCAATTGATTTGGCGGTTGGGAGGCGGGGCTTCGTATCCATTAAAGCTAGATGATGATCAAAGAGCACGAGCCCGACAGAAACGCAGACTGCCTCGCGGGCTCTAGTAGCCTTAATAAGGTTGATAAGGAAAGCCCCGCCTTCCAGCCGCCAAATTAGTTGTATCAAGGGTTATGTTAATGCGCGTACGGTATCGCCATCGTAATCTTTTGCACCCAGTATGTCGAAAAGCACCACGTTTTCGTGATCCCTATGAAAATTAATACAAGGATTCCGAAAAAATTGAGAGCAGCACTTTTCTCCTCGTTTGCAGTCTCATTATAGCTCAAAGCTCAAGTGAAGACTTTTAGTGCATCCTCTTTGGCATCGGTGTGTTCCTCGTTTTTGGCATAAAAGACGTGACCACGTTTCGAACCATCGTCCCCTATGAATTCACTATCACTGACAGCATCGTATCCTTCTTGGTCGGTTTCGTCGTCTCACTTTACCAATTGGCTTCTAGTCCGTTACTTTATCAGGTAAAAAAGAAATTTTTTAAAACTTTTATTTCGGCAAAGGAAATTGTTTCAGGCTTACTTTCCTATTCCGACGCTTCACAAGCTACGACTCACGCTGGCGTTTCACGGTGTATTCCAGCTGTTCTCATCGATTTTGGTTTTTGTCACAATTTCGTTATTCTATGCATTTCTGGAGAGTAAATGCTCAAGAACATTTTCCTATCAAACTCTGTTCGAATTTGCCAAGGTAATTTTTTGCTATTCGCTTATTTGGAGCGATGACAATTTTTCAAACAGCTTTAATAGGCTGCAAATTTACTAACTGTCTCGCTCTGAAATCTTCTTTTGAAGTAGTAACACTTCGTACTTCTCTCATTTTTGAAATAAATGGTTATCACTCAAGCTATAAGGTTCTTTTCACGGGAAAAAAAGAAATTGTTCACTTTTCTAATCTGGACCTACATTCTCGAATTTGTATGTATTTAATTGAAAGTTTGCATATCTAAAGACCAAATTTTCAGCATACTGTGCCACACCCAACTCTTGCCTATGCCGTGATTGTGTCGTTTCTTTCGGTGTTCACATTTTCTACGCAGTGGTTATTCATGAGCATCACTACACATGTATGGGAGGAGTTCGTGAAGGTGGGTCCATTATAGATGTTGTGCCCTCACTTCATGCCGATAGAATTCTATCACTGATTTTCTGCAAGTTCGAGTTTCGATGCAACACGATTTTGACAGAAATTCTTATAAAGAGTCATTTTTGCAATTCGCAATTTTCGTTTATTTCTGGACAGTGCTAACATGCGAATAGAAAATAAAGTAATGGAAAAGGGAAGAAATTACATGGACGGGAAACGAGTTATATCTTTGCTAATAACAAGCAATCCTTTCTACTTCTTTTGCAATAGATGAGATTGTGGTCGATAAAATATCAGAGGAACCGCTTTGACGACCAAGCCAATATGGACGAAACTCCCACTAACCTTTCGCGTACACTCGGCGCGTGCATACGGGCATATGCACGAAATCATTGTGTCAAGTCTGTTTGACACCTTATCCGTGAAACATGCTGAATTTTCATAGAATCGCACGTATGTCACAGAGTCTACCGAGAAAACGCGTATGAAGTTTTGCATTGATTTCTCCTTTAAAACCATGCAATGGGTATATATGAGTAATCTCTCTCTGAGGAAAACGTTACAACATTGGGTTTTATTTTCCTGAACTTATCCTTGATCACTCTAGGGGCAGCTATACAAAGTTTCCGCCTTCTTAGAAAAACTTAATCAACAAACATTTACCGCAACAAAAAGACTGATGCGGTCTAGACTTTTGAACAGCTACCGTTGTGTCCTGTGTTCTATGTGACAGTCAGGTCATCAGTATTATAGCTGTACAGAAATTAATTTAGAACTTTTCTTTTAATCTGAAAAACTGGCATGCATAAGTAGGTATGCACGAAAATGTTAAACTGGAGTCAGAGCTTGTATACGGGCGTATGGACGCGTTGATCGGCGTGTTAAAATATATTAGTTTATAAAAATGCCTAATTTGCTTGTTTCAGTGTCCTCATCTAGAACCCGGCATAGCTCTCTGTGTGCTATTAAGTTGGAACATAAGTCTTGCCCTAATGTAGTCTAGCAGCGCTAAAAAGGCATTACAATTTGCATCTATCATTATGTCCTCTGTTATACATTGCAGTTTCTATAACGAAAACCTCCAATTAAAAAGCAGCTTTCCGAGGCATCTAATTAGTTCGGATTTTGCTTAGAAATAGTAAATCACAAGTGAAAACCAGCCCAAAATTTCCTCGATTCTAGAGCTCACCAAGCAAGCATATCAAGTGCTAATTATACTAGAGCCGCTTTCATGCGAATTAGTATCTTTCAAAAACCAAAGTAACAAAAAGTACAATATTCTCCATGAGATACTTCAGGTACACCTCCGAGATCTGGGCTCAATGAAGCAGCTCTGTTGCTTGCAGGTTAGGTACCTTATCATGAACCAGGGATTGATCCTTATATTCAGTCGATCCTCTTGCTCATTTGCGCTGCTTCGGTCACCATAGCCTCTGCCATTCGCTTCTTTCAAATTCCTTATGATCTACTCACGCCAGCTACTGTGATGTTGATTCTGTGAGTTTGGCTGTATCCGTTTGGAATTTCCGGAAAAAATAATTGAGTTTTCTTGACCTTACCGAGAGCTATCTAGGATTTTTATTTATTTTATTTGTAAAATTACAAAAGTCTTCTGGATTTCTTACATAGTATGTGAGAGTTTTTTTCGTTAGCGACGAGTATTTCAGGACATTATGCGCTGCAATGTGTGGGATCTTCATGTGTGGATATTTTCTGCCATTTTGCAACTCAAAGGGTTAGTGAGTTTCTTCACGTAGTCATTCTAATTTTATCTTGGATTTCGATTTTTGTTAGAATATGTGTCAGCTGACCTTATTCATCTTGCAACTTTTTTTCACACTCATTCTCCTCTCAATGACTGGCCGTGTTTTTCGCTTCTGTGTGAAAAAATGACTAATTGAGAAAAGTATTTTCTGTCTTGACAAATTTCACTCTTCCCACTTTTATTTTTGAAGACAAATTCATAGCAGTTACAAGAATCTTGCCGCAAAGCTAAAAAGCTCTTTAATCCTTTGTTTGAGTTCAATGAGTTCCATATGTTTTCACTTCAAAATGATTTCGAGACAAAGATCTTCGTGCATACTCTGGCTGCGCCCAAAGTTGTCCGTGCCACTGCCGTGCCAGCGTCGTTCCAGCGCCGTGCCAACGCGGGCCGCAACATCAGTTAATCATTACGACGCGCACCCAATTTCCGGTACAGCGCCAGTACGAGACTGACAGCTCCAGCACACGAGCAATTTGGATGCAGCCCCCATTTCAAATCATGCACTTCTTTTATATTTGGAAAAAGGGTCTTAAAACCAACGATGGCTTCCGCTAGAAACCATTGTTGTAAATTAGGACACTTTTCAAAAGAGTATTTTAGGAGCCATGGCCTCTTTGCTGGTCACCATCGTAAGCTCCATTATCCTCTTCTATCTGTACGCCTCTCATAATACATTGCCAAGCTTCAAGAACAACTGTGCGGTAGAAGCCGTTACAAATTCTACTATTGCACTAAGGTTTGTTGTGCACAAAAAGTTATTATCCTGCATCTTCAATTTGGGACGAGATTCCTCCGAAACCCACATCTTCCAGGTCTTTCAACATGGAAAAAGTGATGCTTATGGCATCACATATGCCATTGCATTCTCATCCCATCGTGGCTTTTGTGGTGAGTCCATAGTCAGTAGTTCGCAAAATTGTATTTGTGTACTACATAGAACTACGCATTTCGTACGCTACCGTAATCCACAATCTATGTGATAAACATGAGTGATACCAAGGCGCTATGTTTTGGATTCTTTGTTGTCATTCCCAGAGACAGTAACATATGCAGCACGGATTGTAAAAATTGCACTACAGCACGGTTCGCGCGATACGGTAGCATAATGTAAGGTGCCAAAATAACGCTGCTCATGGAGTGCTTCTGCCACCTAGTCTTCTGTATATTTTTACGTCTGGGAAAATGATGAGTCATCTTTCTTTTTTTTTCACTCACTCCTCTCCCGCATCTCCCGCATCTCCCCCTTTGAAATTATGCATACGTTAGAAGACAAGTAACTTTTGTCCGCTTTCAGATAAGCATCGTCATTTGCCCGATAGTGTCACTCTTCACCGGCGGACAGGACCAGATGAGTCTCGACTGGAATCTCGTCGTGATGCCCGGCTCTTTGGGACGTGGCTCAGCTTACAGTAAACGACCGTTCGTCGAAAGCGAATCGTTCCGCTATGCGCAGCACACCGCCAGCCCTGGTTTGCTCAAGTGGCAACGATAACACATTACTTTGTGTTGTACATAGTGCTTATCACGCTTCTTTGTTCTCATTTCGAGTCAATGCCTGTATTCAGAAATTCTTTCGTGCTTTTTCACTTTGTTCTTGACTTTCTGCATTTTCACGTTTGTAGCAATTGTTCATATCATGATTGAGCTACGGGTCAGATGTCCAGTGATTTTTTAGAGGAATAAAAGCAATAAACGATTTTTCGAATCTGTTAACAATTCAGAGGATTGTGGAAGATATTTGTTTCTTTAGTAGCTCCTTTCACAACATCGGCTTATCATTATATTTTCAATGCTTATAAGGCAATGATAAGCAGAAAGGCAGAAACCCGGCTAGGGCCTTAACGGCTAAGGCATGCCTCCCGCGGTTTCGCGAATTCGCCACATCACATCACGATTTGGCAATTTGCCAAATGTCTATAGATCACCCAAGTTAGGTTTCACATGCATAGGCGCATGGATTCCGTTAAGTCGTAGCAAATACACCAAGTCTGGCCCAAGCAAAGTACGTTCACGACCAGTTATGAAGAGTTGTTGCTGTTTCAGATCGCGCAGCGACTAAAATCGCGTGAGGTTTAATAAATGAAAGATAAATGAAAGGTATGCCTTAGGCCTAATACCGTAAGCCAATAAGTGCAAATACACACAACATGCACTATCGCGCGTAAATTTCGATTGCCGAGATTGCCTTGGCTACGGTCCCATACTCTAACATAGTGTTTTTCAATTTTAATGTGAATTGTTATTGTCACGGGAAACCTCTAGTAATGCCATCCATGCAGCATTCCCAGTAAAGACTAGATTTGGCTCGTGATGTGCATTGTGTGCAAATGCACGCATTCGATTACAAAACTTACCGAGTTTGCAAAATGCGACGGTGGAGAGAAATTGCAAATGCTTTGTAATACTAAGACAGCAGACACCACCCCCCTTTTGGGTTTGCCTGTCATTGCGGTATATAGAGTATGGCAAGTTTCCAATCAATTCGGAATCAACTATTTTCGATTTCAACCAAGTTTCAGTCAAAAAGACAAGATCAGGTTTATCATGGGTCAAAAGAAATTGTAGGTGGTGTATTTTATTAATTATACTTCGAGCATTGAATAGCAAACATTTGAGCGAGGATGGACAACCGTGCATGTTCAGTGGTTTCCCGAACGTCTGTTGGGAAGTTCCGAGATATGTTTGAGTTGGCCGCGATATACGACCCACTCTCTTTCAGATTTCCCAGCATTACGTTCTCTCGCTTGTTGCCTAAGTTCGTATTCGGCCCTTCTTTCCTCACTGGTCATGCTTCTGCGAATAAATACTTGCGAGAAGTTGGACGAGCGAAGGAAACGTGCATTGGCTAAGGCCCTTTGCCAGTAAAAAGTTGACGGTAAGGTAACCTTAACCAATCTAGGCCGTTCGGCATTTAGTTTGCCGATGCGATATACGTCACTTGGGCAACATTCTACGTCAACAATGTCCAAAATCTTCTCCACTTTGTCCTTGAGGTCTCTTGCTTTTTCGGATGCGCAGTATTCTTTAGGTGACTCCGGAATACCGCTAAGAACTAGGGTCCGCGACCGTTTCTCAGCCTCCACGTGCTCAGCGACTTCAATATGAAGCCTCTGAGAGAGGAGGCTGAGAAGACGATCTATAGCAGGATCCCTGTTCTTTTCTTTAATGCATAGAATGAGTTCGGCAGCCGACAGACCAGTGTAGTCGACGTCATTCTCATTCTGCGCATTGTCATCTGATGAGCAGATGATAGTAGATTGTTTGGATTGTGATTTTTTGTTTGAACGCGGAGCCATAATGCCTACACAACAAAGTCAAGTTAAGAATGGTAATGAGTGTATTCTGAGATTACCGTTTTGTGGTTAAGGCCAAAGATACTGAACACTAGCCGAATCCAGTGATCAGTATGCACAGGGAGCAAAAATGCAGTAGTATAATATGATCGAGAACTTATCCGATAGCGATGAGATAGAGTGATGAGATATGCCGACCACACTATGGGGTTACAGGCAAGAGAATGATGTGTGTCTGCTGTCTTGTTAAAGATAACATTTTTGTAAAACACGTAGACAGACTCTCAACAGCAAAATGCGATTTACTTTTGCTCGAATTGCTTATTTTATCAAGATCAAGATCAAATCCTGTCAGGTTCATTGTTGTCTACCGTCCACCAAAATCTACTCGAGATGATAATGGACAAGTAATAGATGTTTTGACTGGCTTGTTATCTGCTGCAAAAAACACAGTTGTAGTTGGCGATTTTAACCTGCACATTGATTGGATTACCCAAAGTGCTCTCAAGCCTGAATCCAAACCATTTCTTGACCTTTTTCGTAACGCAGGATTTAAACAGAGAGTTCAACAAGCAACTCATGCAAATAATATTCTTGACCTGATTCTGTCACCATCTGATGATATCAGTAATATCGAGATTCATCCACCCTTTGCATCCTCTGACCATAATATCATCGCATTTACTTACAATTATGAAGCTTTGTCAGATCCCTCCTACCCTCTCCCTGATTTTCCGAATTTTGATTATAATGGACTCAATAATTACTTATCGAATACTGACTGGATTTCAACTTACGAAAACTATCGGTCAACAGATGATTTGTACCTTAGGTTCTGTTACATTATTTACAAGGGCATGTCCCTTTTTGGATCCATGAAAATGAAAGTGACAAGTGACTTTCGTTATCCGAATCACATCAATTCTCTGATGGAGCAAAAATATCGTTTATTCCATACGTTGGAAACACCTCTTACAGACCCCACTTACAAGAAGGTCTGCTCCGATATCGAATTTCATCTCAAGAAATTTTTAAATAATTATGAACGTCGTCTCGCATCAAAAGCATCTATGAAGAATGTATTCAAATACATTCATCAAAAGTTTCATAAAAGGAATAATATTCACTTTCTCAAAGACCAATCAGGTTCAAGCTTTTGTAATGATACTGCAAAAGCCAATGCATTGGGTACATATTTCGCCAGTGTATTTGAGGAAAATTCACCTTCGAGAGATTTCTCAGTAGATGAACATTCTGGTCAGAATACCCTTAGTACTGTCTATTTTCATCCTTCCGATATTCATCGGATCATTTTGTCTTTGAAGCCTTCTTGCATGGAACCAATTGATGGCATTCCTCAGATTTTATATAAGAAATGCGCAGATAATCTTTCTAGACCTCTTGCTGATTTATTCAATATTTCTATGTATTATTCTGAGATTCCCGCATTGTGGAAAGAGGCTATAGTCACTGCCATTCCAAAAACTTCAAAACCCGAATATACCTCTGATTTTCGACCGATTAGTCATAATTGTATAGCAATCAAGATCATGGAAAAGATAATAAGGAATAAATTATTATCTTGGCTGGAGAAATTCCACCTTATATCACCTGAGCACCATGGATTCATACCAGGCAGATCTACTGCAACTAATCTTATCGAAACTATTTTTGAATGGAGGCTAGCACTGAATTCAGGGAAATCTGTTGATATTATATATTTCGACCTTTCGAAAGCTTTTGACAAAATTCCGCACAATATCCTTCTTTTCAAGCTAAAAAATATCGGGATATCAGGAAATCTTTTGAGTTGGTTTGGATCTTACCTAAATGGTAGAAATATGACTGTAAAAGTTGGACAAGCTTTTTCTAATAGATTCTCTTGCCCTAGTGGAGTTCCCCAAGGGGCTGTTTTATCTCCTCTATTATTTTTGATTTTCACTTTAGAATTGCCTAGTCTATTGAAATCAGATAACATGAGTCTCCAAATCTACGCCGATGATATAAAAATCTATGCAGCGTATGATGAGCATAATTTCGGAAAAATTCATGACGAACTGCAATTGTCCATTGATAAAATGTGTACTTGGGCATCGCAAAATGGACTCTCTCTTAACCCGAAAAATGCTCTTTTCTTCACCTTGGTAGAATTACTCCAGCTGCTTATCTAGTCAATGAGGTTGAATTAAACACTTGCCAAACAGTAAAAGACCTGGGAATTATTGTTGATTCTAAACTGAATTTTTCTGAACACATCGATTTTATTGTCAAGAAAGCGTATTCGACACTATTCATGATTTTCCGAAACATACATACCCCCAATAAGATAATTTTGACAAGACTCTATCAAGCATACGTTCTTCCACAATTAGAATACTGTTCTCAAGTTTGGAGTCCCTTCAAGAAAAAGAATATTTCGAAAATTGAAAAAGTTCAGCATACCTTCACTAGACTAATTTATTATCGAAATACAATGGAAAAAGTACAAAACGGAATTCCAAGCTATAGTGTTCGAAACAAAGCATTGTGTTTAACCGCTCTAATAACAAGACGCACTATAGCTGACCTAGTCTTTTGCTTTCGAATACTTCGTTTAGAAGTCAAACTAAGAGCAAGTAAATTCTGGATTTTCATGCCTACAGGCGATAGAATAGGGGGATTCAATCTTCACTACAAACCTATTAGAAATCATCGATCTGGTCTTTTCAATTACTTATTTTATCGATGTGCGAGATGGTTTCAACGATTGCCTGCTGAAATTATTTCCGCAGGCAATGGTGAAACCTTCAAGAAAAAATTGATGATGGCAGACTTACCTAAATTACTAAATTATGATCATATCTAATTCTTTTAAGATAGCCTCTCTATATTTGTTATATTCAGAGAAATGGAAATGGAGTAAAATGAGAAGAAATAGAAAGTGATTCTACTCTTGGAACAACCATCTATTCAGAACTGATAACTTTCCATAATTCACCATCTACTATCGTTCTAAAAGAATTCTTTTCAGATCCCCGTTGTCTTCATGATATCAGATATCCAACGTCATTATGTTCTATATATGGCTCTGATTACCATCCACTCAGCGAAACATCTAGCCTTCTTCTACATCCGAAAATTTACCTCTTATAAAAAAGTCCTCCAAATAGAGATGCAAGTTTTCAAGATAACAGGATCTTATCCCCTCCCTCCCATCAATAAGCCTATTTTGTAGGCTATTACCCACCTTATTACGTAACTGGTTTGGGTCTGGTTTTTTTTTTCTCCAAACACATTTGCACAAGGTCAGCTCAAAATGACTTGCCCGAAGTTTTTTTTTTCTTTCTTAGATTGTAACATTTTGTAGAGTTTGGCACTCTCCTCCAGCATGTCGGATGAGCGAGGCGGCCAGTATACTCGCTTTCCGAACTTCCGGCATACTCCTACTGAATTCCCAAGGTCGTTTTTGCTGGCAAGCGAGGAGGGCATGGGTACAAACTCCGTCGAATTATATTTCCTGGTAGTGTCTGCTTGGGCAAAACCTTAGTGCTTGTAATTTTTATTAACTTATAACTGGACCTGAATTGAATATGATTTTATTGTAAATATATGTATATACTTTGTGTTTCTTTAAAGAATATGTGTATCTCAACTGCTCCTTTAGTCTTACTTTGTAGCACGCCTTAGAGCGTAAGAATAAATAAATAAATAAATAAATAATAAATAAACGACCGCATTTAGCGCAATAGCTAGATTTTTAAGTTATACACAATTCAAACAAGAAGTTTTTGTACCACCAAGTTTTTCGAAAAAATTAAGTAAAAAAGCATCCTTCTTTTTTTAGATGTTATTATGTTTGTTAATTTTCTACGGTTTGGTTATTGCTCGTACCTCTTATCTTCTTCCGCCTCCCCAATTTAATGATTCACCTATTTTTGCGACGACCATCAACAGATATAATCAAATTATTTATACAGTACATAGCAGGCTCGTATATTGCATGATAATGATGAGATAAATGAAATCTTAATCGGTAATTTCTTCGATTTTCAAAAATCGTGGCTCTTCCTTGTACTGGGGCGGAGCAAACATCGGTGGCATCGTGTAGGCAGGCATAAATGGACGATATGGTGTCTTGAGCATATGAATGGGTATGTACATGGGGCGGGGCTAAAAATCAGTTGGTTAACATAATGAGACTGCAAATATGCATGAATGATTATGCAGGCTTAAATTCAAATGCGAAGAAATTTTTGAATTTTGGGAAGGATAGGTCCAAAGTTGTCCGCGTGCAGCCACTGTGCTAGCGCCGTTCCAGCGCGTGCCAGCATTGTGGCGCCAATCCACGTGCTTACAGTATCGAAATCCCGCCAACAGAGTTTCGGCAGGGCACTGAGACGATGCTGACTGCGCTGGCACGGGCAACTTGGACAGTCAAAAAGTTGGTTATTCAATAAAAATGAATGCCGCACCTGTGGATGAGTACTGTATGGAGGCGGTCCCTCAACGCCGTTACCGTACTCGGAGGGTGGCACACAGTAATAAGCGCTGCTCTTATCGCCCGAAGTGATGCTGAGGGGCGAAGCGCATCCGGCACGAGTGCCGATCATTATGGGTGTGTCGACGGTGAAGTTACCAAGCGAGGTTAGCAACAGTTCGTAGCTGACCTGAAGCACGCAAAAATGTAGAGAATCTTGGATTTCAAGAGTTAATGTGTAATCTTACGTGGACACTGATGTTGTTCCTTTCCAAAGAAGGATAGCAGTCATGAGGGACTTGTATGGAATGGTGGAGTGTCAGAGTGTCAGCGGGTGCAACTGACCCGCATACCAAGCGAGTTATGAGGCGATTGCTGGAATTTCAAATTAATTCCCAACATGAGAGGTAGAAAAAATGTGACCAGGATGTGTTCGCAAAAAACTTACTCCGATCGTTTCGCTTCGCCACTTGTGTACTGAACTTTTTGACGTAATTCGATGGAAACATGCTTCAGTACACTTGTGCTGTGATTATTCTTCACGTGACCGGTAACCAGGATATGTTCGCCTTCAAAATTTGTGTAATCAGATATGAGATAAGTACTTACGAAAAACTGAAGTAATGCGTACTACCAGAGCTCGGCACGAGGTGGCTAGTTGAAAATGCAAAAAACGAAGTCTCACTTGACTTTTGCAAATTTTTACGAAGTCTTTTTTTGGCTCTCGACCATAACCCTTGAAATATCTCCAAAAAACGAAACGTCGACCTAAAAAAACGTCGCAGATTTTGTGTCTTTTCGGCCATGAAAACGAAACCCCCTTTGCTTTTCGTCCCAAAAACGATGTCTAGCTTGCTCTTAAGCCACCTGTGCCGAGCCCTGCGTACTACACTACAAAGTGGTTGATCTCATAAGGAGAGGATAATACAGGGTGCGGCAAAAGTCTGGAAGCCTAGTACTTTTTCGTACAAAACGAGAAAGGAAGTACCTAGAAGCGAAAAATTTGGCGCACACATAATTCGAACCATTGCAGATACAGCCCAGTTCTTGAATTGCAAAACTGCCTCTTTTGGCTTCTACGCAGCCCTACAAAATCTTGCCAAGTCCATCTGTCATGGCACGCGGGTGACTGTAACGAAATACGCCCCATGCCTTCACAATAACTGCTTCTTTTACATTGGCAGATGTGCAGTATGATAGAGCAAGCTTTTGTCTACAACATACTTTCAAAAGAATTTTTTGCATTGCTTAGGAATAAAAATATTGGATATTCAATTGGAAGCATGTGTATGTCGCATGCCGGAATTTTGGCTACAATTGCGCAAAAAAAACTTAAAATTATTGTTTAAAAAGTATAAAAAGTGTTCCCATGGCCGAATTCCAATAGATTCTGATTTAGAAGACGTATGCAAAAATAACAGCCTTGGTTCTAGTGCCTGTTGAGCATTCTATAGCTTTTAGATTTGTTCTGAAGACGAATTTCCACTGGCACATAGATAACATTCGCAAACTCTTATGTTCCGTTTATGCAAGAACAGCTCCTGGCAAAAGCAAAACTACGATCCAATAGCGCAAAATCTCTTCTATATTGTGTGCATCGAAGTGTCGTAGAATACTAACAGCATTTCTAGCTGTAGCAAAAATTGTAAATACTAAAAATTCTGGTTTTTTCGCTTTGCAAAAGTACTAGTTTGGTAATTTCCATTCTTACAAAAACATATGGCAGCCATTTCCAGCCAATTAAAGTTTATTCTGTAGAGGATGACCGCAGCATCATGCGGCATAAAATTGAAATCAAAACCATCAGTATGTTTGTAATTGCAGTACTGCAAAGTTAGGCTCCCAGACTTTTGCCGCACCCTGTATAATTATTAGGTTGGCTAATAAGCAAGTTCGGTCGCTGTTGCGGCTCTTATAAATGCTGCAGACAAATTTTTGTCCATCGTTTGGTATTATTTTTGGAAAGAGCACTTCAGTGAAAATTGAAGCATATATTCTGTCTAAATAAAACTTATCTTCCAGGGAAAAAACTCTAAAAAACTGAGAAAGCGTAATTTCTTATGATAAGCAAGTATGAGGAAATTTGGTTTCCTTGGCTAATGATTTTCAAAGTGGCAGATCAGTTTTTATTGTTATTCGCTAAATAGAGTCAACCCTTCGTATCTAATTACCAAACTGGTGTTCTTTACATCCATTACCGCATGAAAACGAAGCTTAAGAGGTCAAAGGTTGAGCTCTTCGAAATTTTGCCATGTTGAGGCTTAACTGTGTTTACTGATGATAGAAAATTCTGAGTATATAGAGCTCTGATAGAGAAAGTCTTGAACTACTTTCCCACAAGAATAATGGACAGAAAACAACAAGAAAAAGGTTTATATGCCAGAATGAATTTATTTTTTTAGCCAATCTAATAGTAATCCCTTGTAAACTTCATGTGATTTAGATGATCAAGTCGATGAATAATATAAAAACGATTTGAAGAAACGGGCAACCATAGCTTGCATTGCCTCCGAAATTATTATATCACAAAAAGAAAAACATTCTAAGTATCACCACAACCATTCTCATTGAAAGACAGACATATTCTATCATTTATCAGAACAAGGCCAAACACACATTGTATTGACTTCCACTGGAGGCAAACTCGTGAATGTACAAAACTTGAAACGGAGGATAGAGTATCGATGCGAAATTATCCCAAGGTAAGATATGAGAGCCTATAATTTGAATTGTATTATGTTTTATAGAACAGCGACTACGCGTTTTCAAAATCTTTGAGTAAAACAGAAATGATAGAATAATGATTCAGTTCTTAAGTTGGTATTTTTCTGAGAGTTGCTTAATTGATGCAAGGTTGTCAGCAGAAGGTTCTTCCCTAATCCTTTCAACATTTTCATGACTGCCATCTTTATTCGATAAGTGTCCTCATTTAGACAACTCTCCTCAAGTCAGCGTAGAAAACACTTGACTGTCTACATTGCTAACCTCCTTCAGTTCATATTTGATGACCTCATAACCTTAAATAAACTCTTGTCCTAATTTGGCAATGGATTGTGGTGATCTTTGTCCTCGATACTGAACGGTTTACAATCAGTAGTTAGGAATTTTCTGAAACTGCTGGAACTGGGGAGAACATAAAGTCAAATTTCCTATTTTAGATGTAGATTATTGTCTGGTCACCGTCGGGCCATTTTTATAGCAGAAGCATATATATTTGTTTACGAGCCTCTGAAGGTGTCTCAAAAATTATTTGGGAGGGGCAAGGTCGTGAATTTTCTGAAAATTCCAAATTTTCACCTAACTTATAACGCGAAAAAAGTTTTACTTATGCTTCAAAGATAACTGAATTATTGAATGAAAGAAATTACTTGCACAAGAAAAATGTCGGGAGAACAGTGTTTTCCGATCTTTTACAACTTTGTTACTTGCTCATTTGAACAATCATTCAACCCTCTACTCTTTTTTTTCATTTAACTCCTTTTGACCCTTCTTTCTCTCTTCCCCCCCCCCCCCCCGCTTTCCAATTTTCTCGAGTCAATGTATTTGTCCATTGTTCACCCCGCTCGCGCTGATCCTGTTCATATCAAGCAATGTCCACATCCTGATTTCCTATCACTGCAAATCTCTACGTTCGGAACGAACACATATCAGAATGATGAACGATGAAGTGACAAGAGGCTTATAAAAATACACGAAAACTGGAACGAAACTTGAAACTCGGACGCGAAGGTGTTTCAAAACGGTGTTTGAACATTTTTCACCAGGACTTGCTGAGATTTGCTGTTTTTTTTGGTGGATAGGTGACTTCTCGTGCATTTTTATGAGCGACATAAAGTGATCAGGTATTTTTGCAAAAGTCCGATAATCAAATTGAGTTATTGACTTGCGGGTATTAGGAAAAAATATAATAGTTCAAGTTCGATTATTCAAGAGAAAAAACAAACAAAATATTGTTTCTATTCTCACAATGGGCAATACTATCCAAGCATATGGGCACCTTCAAATTTAACAATTTCTAAATTCAACTTTACCAATCTCTTTTCCCTCAATGGTAAAGTGAATAGTGAATGTGAATACTGATAAATTTGTTGAGTTTGGTAAATAAATTTGTTCACTACAGGATCAGCTTGAAAAAATCTTTGAAAAAAATATACATAAACTTGTTGGTGGAGAGAAAATTTTCTGATTTACCTAGGTGAGAACTCGAAATCTAACAGATAAACGTCTGAAAAGAACTCCAAAAACAAACAGAAGAACGATATATGAAGTGTGACATGATCAAGTACATACTAGGTTTCAAAACTGTACTTGTGTGGAATGATGCACAAAAAAAATTCAGAATTTTGGTACCCTTCCGAGAATTGAAGTTTTACGAACTAAACTCTGAATTCCAAAGATCCCAAATCAAGAATTTTTTTCGATTCCTTTTGCCAAATGGCGTAGCACATTTTTTATTGTGCTCGTAACGGCAAAAAAAACGAAAATATTTGAATGCCGTGTTAGAAAAGTTCCTTGAATTCATGTGCCTTTCATGACTAGGTAAGAAGAAAATACTATGGAACTTGAAGGTAAAAACTGGATGAAAAGATTGACGGACCCATAAATGTCCATGACGTTGATAAACTAGAACAGATTATAGCACGTTACCCAAATTGCTTATGGCTATAGAATCATTCATAGCGGAAAGAAAGAAATGGTCAGGCATACCGGTTATGAAGGCAGATTTGTCCACTTCGAAAGACACATTGCAGTCGAGTCGATTGAAACAGAGAGCCTATAAAAGTTATTGTTGTATTATAACAAAGAAGAATGCTTTGAGTCGGCATGGTCTATACCAAATAAAAACAAACAATCTTTTGCTATGCTCGACAAGCTCGAAATACTAGTAACAGTTTGTGTTCAGGCTATATAAACTTTAATTTTACTTCTTCTAGGCGTGAGGATGGCATCATTTCTACAGGGCATAGAATTGCAGAGTGTTTCTTATCGAACCAAAGTTAGGCCAAAGCAAATTGGGGCAATTTTATTCTATAAGGAGCTCGCTATTTCACTCTGTCAGCGTTCAGATCACCAAAGATTTTTTGTGCGTCTTTAAGAACAGGAGCCATTAGTTTTGCGGAATATAAGGATAATTTTTAATTGCGATTAACGATCTGAGTCGAAACCTTAGGAAAGTGATGTCAGAAGAAATGACAATTTGAAAGTTGACAATTCCGCATTCTGGAGTTTTCCCAAATTTTTTTATCAAATAACTCGAAAAAGGGTAATTGATAGAGGCAAGATCCACGTGGTTGAACTTATGGTATACAGAAAAATACAACAATCAGATCCCATTCATAAAAAAAGCTTCATACTAGGTTGTTCCGTAAGTCCCGCATAGAAAATTCTCGGAAAATCGTTCTCAAATACCCAGTCGTTTGAACACATCATATTTTAGTACATAAAACAAACAACCTTTTCTCTTTAAGATACATGAAATTAGGCGAATACATAAGAACTGCAGATATAAAATTTTGATGCAAGAGGAACAACCCCACACGTAACTGAAATCATTTGCATTCGATTCCAAGGAGCCAAGCCTTACCTTTTTTCGTAGATGCCTCTGAATGGAGATAGCAGGTAAGTTTGGATTTGTAGGTGTTGAACCCCAAACAATCGCTTCACTCTCCGTCTCAAGCATTGCTTCGTCACTGGATGGAAAGCGTCGAACAGTGAACTGCAACGATCATTTCGTGTATGATATACATTTACAGATTACGGTAGCGTGGGAAAGTCGAAAAAAGTGCAGGCAAGTAGGTTTTTTCTAAGTTATCTGTGCAGTTACACATTTCCTATGATATTTGGTTGCACATTTTTCAACCAAAATATGCAAGTATGATCATTTACCCCCCCCCCCCCTCCGAGACAGCTGTCCCATAAAATAAAGCCCAGACATACCAAGAAGAATATCTACTCCACGGCCAATCCAATCCTCAAAAGTGTGCAGTTACACACATTAACGAGAATCTACTCGACTGTACTCCATTCGAAGCAAAACTCATTACAGAAGTGGAGCACTGTAGTCAATGTGTTTTTGACAGAGCTTCCGCAAGGGCGGATGAAATTTTCGGGCGACACGAAATGTTATGACTTGATTTTTCGCATATTTGCGTGAGCTGAAGGACACCACAACGATTGAAAGCATCGTTAGTGTAACTAGGTATAGAAATGACGAAATGGGCAGGAAAAGCCGGAAGGACGAAAATGCAGAGTGGAAGAGAGAAGAAGTCACAAGTGTTTGTCCAAATTAGTCGTTAATGCCTGCATTGCTTGCTATGGAGACTGCAACGAAGAAAACAACCAAACACTTTTCGTATGTCATACATAAAATCATCTATCCTATTTTCAACCGTGTGCATTTGCACACAGCATGCATATTAGCGTAAAATTCAGGACTCCGTAGGTCAGGGAAGAGGAATGGAATGAGATGGGGTTACTCATTGACTATTCTCAATTTCCATTGTTTTACGCTGCATCCATTGCTAGTGTGCCAGTGCCGTGCTATCTCCGTGCCGGCACCCAGGTGGACGATGCTGTGGCCCGTGGCTGACACGGGGATGGCACTTGATCAATAGGGCGCAGCTTCACAAGGAGCAACCACAACTCAGTGATGTTCTTCAAAGAAAATTCAAGATGGTCAATGAAATCCGGGCTTTGACGTGCAAATCGTATGTTGGCTGCAATTGCACAAATCAAGTTACAGAATGAATAGACCCTACATACATGTATATGAATTTGAAAGAAGATCGAGAGTGAGAAATTTTTTTTGACAAAATACCGAAGTTAGTTAAGACCGGAACACATAAATCAATTACGCCAAATAAAGAGCGACAAAGCGCTGGTTAGTCGACCGATTTGTCTCGCTAACGATCTGCACACGAGCCGCTCGCCACTGACTCTGCGGATAACCTCGAATGAAGTTTTTCCCAACACTTTCAAGGCCGCGCCACCACTGCCAGGAAATCACGGCCAAAGTTGATGCTTATCGGCTGGCATTAGTCATGAGAAGACAGCGATGGCTACTCCCCCCTCCCCCCCCCCCCCGACGAGTCTAGATCAGCGCCATTTTAGCTGACTTTACGCGCCGCGCGAAACGATATGGTCACGGCAAGGAGTCGACAAGGAACAGTTCGGATAGGGAACAAGGGCGGCATAAGCCCACAATTCGTTTTTCTTGATATCTTACCTTATATTTTTTTTCTTGAATGTGTACCAAAGCGATTTACAGCGCATCGAGGTAAGATGTTGTAGACATTATCAAACCCAAAAAGCACGTGAAACTGTAGTTGCTGATTTCAGCATCGTCTTGAAACTTTGCAAAGTACAATAAGAATTTTCTGCTTTGACTCAAAAAATTGGATATTTTTCTGCACCTCAATAAACTGCTTTCATCTTCAACTTTCTACTTTGACTGCAAAAGGGTTTGATTTTTCTGTTCTATCTATCGTATCTTACACTGCAAATTCGTTCAATAAACAACATGCAAAAGATTTTCTAAATAATTCTTGAAATTTTTCAAAAATTCAAACTAGCCTTGTAAAAAAAATTTTTTTCGAGGGCGTGGCTGACGCCACGCCCCCTTTTTCTAGATTTTAGGGGTTGGGGACCCCAAAATATCTTGAAGAGCACCCCTAAAAAATTTTCGGAGTGCGGGCTGACGCCAAGCGGCTTCATTTGAAAAAAAAATTTTTTTGCCCCCCCCCCCCGGACGGAAATCCTGGGACCACCACTGGAATCTAGACACTTGGATTTAGGTGATACTGATTGAAAAACAAAGCTATTGCGATGATAAATTCTGATAAACCTTTTATGATAAATTCGTAGCGAACCTCACTCAGGACTTCAGCTCAGACCCTACCACTTCATACCTTACTAAAGGACACTGGGTGGTCCATTCATAAATTATGCTGCGTAAGAGATGTGGGCTATAAACTTAATTAGGACCAAGACTCGGCACGGTGTCACACCAACAGGCTGGATATAGTTTCGAGGGGAAAAAACTAGGAGACAGCGTTTTTCAGGGCTAAGGGAAATTGGCTAGAAATTTTTAGCGAAAACTGATTTCGTAATTTGAATAGCCTCACGAAATTCTTTTGTGAAAGCCTGACTGACTCCGCGTTCATCAATCAACAATCTGCTGTCCATACAATCGTCCTTTTAAACACAACCTCGTGGAACCATTGCCGCATGTCATATATCCATAACAATCTCGCGCCTTTCCCATTTTTAACCACTTCCCCAATTTCACTACTTCTTCATTTCTGTAGACGTCTCAAGCGCTCATCACTGACCTACCGATCCTTCCGGGAACGAAATTCCGAGTTCCAATATGCAGAACTAACAGTGATTTTTGAACAGGGCTCTGCTTAGCCCTTTACTTACTATCAATTTCCATATAGCGCTAGTAGTCAGTTGCCTGGGTATGTCTACAACACTTGACTGACTAGCTCAAAAAAGTGGTGTTATAATCTCACATTAGCGCTGAGAAGAGAATCTCTGATTTTTCCATGAAATTTCTTACATTTTGCGGAAATTTCAAAAGCAGGCACATTTTAACCTCAGATCAGGGCTTTCCCATGACCTCCATCAATTTTGTCTTTGAGCTCTCACGGCCTCATGGCGCCATCGCAGCGATCTATCACAATGGTTCAAAGTCAGAACAGTGAATGACGCTGGTACAATGACGAAGGTGCGATGTGTGAAATTACTGCAAGCGAAAGGAAATGTGTGAGATCTCACTATGAAAAGAGATAAGAGGGGGTATAGAGTAAAGAAAAGGAGAAGCTCAACAAAGTATCAAAAAAAAAATACCTTGGCAACAATTCGATAGGCGATGGCACCGTATTTTCCACTGAATGATCCTGGTAGCTCTGATGGAAGAATCAACAGCATAGGCAGTCGATGATATCCTTCTGCTAACACCATGGTACCCTAAATCATTGTCGTAACTTTTATCAATTGTAGGAAAACAGCCATTTTACGCCACTACAGTACCATCTCGAGTAGTAATATACCATGAAATATGATGCAAGAGAGTTTTTTTTTAAATTTAGAATTGATAGGCAAAAATGCCAAAAAGTGCGCCTTCGAGTGCTTGTCTTTCGAGATTCGCGTGCGAGTACGATAGCATACAGTACTTGTTGTCTACTTGTTGTCAAGAACACCTACGTAACTTTTGATTTAATAGACTTGGCGGCTGGAAGGCGGGGCTTTGTGATGCAATCGGCCGCTCGCACCCGCGACGCAGCCTGCGTCTCTCCCGCGCGTGCACTCTCTGATCAACACCCAACAGTGGCGTACCCAGGATTTCGGCTCGGGGGGGGGCGCAACAAAAATTTTTTTCTAAAGAAGGTGCGTGGCGTTAGCCACGCCCCCGAAAAAATTTTTTTTACAAAGCTAATTTGAATTTTTAAAAATTTTTAAAAAATTATTTTAATTATTTACAAAAATAAACAAGTCACTTGCACATTTTTATAACCCACATAGGTAACTTTCAAAAATTTCGCGACCCATTCTCGGGGGGGGGGGGCGCCGCCACTGATACCCAACCTTAATTAGGTCACGAAGCCCCGCCCTTCAGCCGCCAAGCCAGCTGAATCAAAGGGTACATCCGAAAACTACGCGATATGCTGATGCTGATATGCTGTGAAAGCTATTGCAAGAGCAAATCTCTGGGTACATAATTTATATAATCAACAGAATAGTGAAAAAATGCATCTGAAGCAGCTGAACTTTGAAAACGATGAGATACCTTAGAAGTTGGCAGTAAGAAATGTTGAATGGGAACTGGTATCCTGTTAGAGATCAGGGTATGAATCGAGTCGTGACCGGAAAACGCCGAGCGGCAGCGACCCTAAAATCAAGTTCTTTTACTTCACTGTTATCCTTTCAGAATTTTCTGTGAACTGCTTTGCTTTGGCTTTTGAGGTAGAACTAAATTTTTGTTCTCTCAGTTTTTTTTCACTTTTTCAACATTATTTTGCTGCTAAGGTTCCATACTTCTGAGCAGAAGATACATACGAAGATATTAACAATTCCAGCATATTCTTGCATAACAAAGATAACCAGTAGAATGTGTACTCGCAAATCATAGAATAGTCTAACAAGGGAAGGATACCAGATCGCAATGGCCAACCGAAATGATATGCATATTGTTAGATGCGTCTTAATGAGCTGATCCCAATACCTTTCTTATCTGCTAAGAGCTTTTCTAGAAGCTATGTGCGATTGAAAACGTGAAGTCAATGGGGTTTTGATGCGTAATGTGCTTTGAAAACCAGTTTGAGAGTGATTAATTGGCATGATTTTGAGTTCATTGCTACAAGTGATGCATACATACACCGAACACATAAATAAGCGTTTTTACCAAGTAGTTCTTGAAGTGGCACTGAATGTCTGCCAAATTCGGATACTCAATCGCTCATAACTTCTTCTAGGGAAGAATTTGGCAGATATAGTATTAGATTTGGAATCAGCTCATCAAGGCGCATTTAAGGAAATGCATATCGTTTTGGTTCGCTACTGCAATCTGGTATCCTTCCCTTGTGAGCTATCCACAGCATGGTGAATCAGTTCGTTAAATCTTTTGTATTCTGTTCCAACTTCGACTGTGCCGACGATGAAAAATTGAAAAAATTTTTAGCTTAGTAATTTCATCTTCTTATGTAGAGCATGTTTGTAACTTGAACTAAATTAGCATAATCACGACACTATTTAACTTGTAAAGAGCAACAAGTTGGCAAGATTATACCAGAGGGAAAATACCAAAAGGGAACCTTTTTCAAAATTTAGTAGCCTTGAATAAAATACGAAGAGAGTAAGAGGTTTTTCTTGTTTTGGCAGAAGAAGCATTGTATATCTCACAGAGCGCAAGGCGGAATTCGTGAGCTTATTGTCAGATAAAGGAGCAAAATATAACTCTATCCAATTTATTGTCAACGATCACCGTTGAACCTACAGCATCGAGTGGAGAAATGAAAAAATGATAGAAATTGTTCGATGTAAAGACAAAAAAAAGTTACCCAAATTGAAGGTAGTCACAAGCATACCTCGAAAACCACAACGGAGTTCACGACTTCCACAGCGTCCGGAATGCGTAAGTGGATTTCAAACATTTCTTTCTGAAATAGTAGAATAGGAGATGAGGAATCTGACCCATCTTTTGCTAAAATGTCTGAAGGTGCGACTCCGCATCATCAGTTTTATTTGAAATTTATTTTTCAGTACTTCTTAACGGCAAAATTATGGTACAAAGTAAAAGTTCAGCAATGTTTTCTACAACTAAACTAAACAAATATCGTGATTGACTCATGTAGGCCACTTTCAGGAGATTTTGTGGCCTCTCTGGTGGTGCTATGGTTCTAAAGAAAGGGGGTGGAGGAAGGAGAGGGGGGACGAGGATGGGCAATTAACCCTTATGAATACCATTTTTATGTAGTTTTTTCTTTCCGCTAATGTGTTCCTCTTCTTATATATTTTCTTGTATTATAGCGAAATTTCACTCGCTCAAAAAGATGGTCCTTCTCACCCGTCACTTCCTTTCTATCCAAAAAACCGATTTTCAACCCCTGCTCATTTGGTCGATGTTGGATCCTATCAGCTCCTAAATCTTAACGAGCAATTAGACCATGACAGTTCAATCACCTAAATGTGAGCGCGAATTGGATTCGATGTGAACGTTCAGGGTCACAACGGTGACGAAGGGCGTCAAAAACTCATTCTACTCATTTGTAAGAAGGAAGAAGTAACGTATCAGATACATCAAAAAAGATGCAGAGCGGGCTTTTTGGTGCAATCGCACTATAACCCATTTTGCGTGCAAAATGTTCGTTTTGTCTGCTTGAAGGCTAAAAGAGGAATCCCTCTAGAAGTATTACGCGTTTGTTTTATGAAAGTGATTACAGCATTACGCCATAACGACATGCATTTATGCGGTAGTTCTTGCAAACAAATTGTAATGTGTGCAATTACACAACACATTTTGCTTAGCACTTAAGTGCCTTGATTGCATCTATGGAAGAGCAGCAGCCATCATTTGCAAGTTAAGGGAACAACACGCTGAGCTCATTACGGTATTCGAATACAAGCAAAGGCTACTGCAGGATGAAGGCGCAGAAGCGCTATTAGTTGAACGGGAGCGAACGAGGCGCGCGCGTATCCTCACCGTTGTAAATCCTGCGCATTAGGCGCTCTGCGGCCAACGAAACCGCGCCGCGTTCAAAGATATTGCGCCTTCGTCATGCAGCAGCTTATAGATGGTGCGTATTTCTACAGTATACGGACGAATTAGGGTTGTATAATTCACTTGTAGATTAACCTAATGTACGCGTAAAATGTTCGGCGAGATAATGGCTGTATAAGAACTTTTCCTTTTTCCAGCCAATCATGTAAGCAAGTTGACTACGGTCTCGGTCTGGCGCACCATACACGCAACGCGGCTACTCTTGGACTAACCGGACATGGAAGCAAAAAATGCTTATCAATGTCAATTCGGGTTTATTACTATACTTCAACATCTATTGTCGGTATGTTCATTATGCAATTGGGGCACAGAATTTCTATCGCTTCTTTTCAAAAAAGAGTAACATCGCAATCTGAACCGATTCGGATATTTGTACATTTAACCACTCGTCAGGCCGCCCTTTGCCTTGTTATGGTCATTTCTGTGGTGGAGTAGAGTAGTTTGTTCATGAAAAATTATATCTAAGACTTTTTTATAGTTCGGGAGTATGTCTTTCATGCTCAACTCTAGTGGTGGGGAGGTGGTAAAAATATTTCAGATGAAAGTGCGTGGCGTTATCCACGACTCCGATAAAACTTTTGGAATGCTTCTTAACATTTTTGCAGGCGTTTACTAAATACAGCTGAGCCCCAATTCGGGTGGAAAACATGGCCTTCGTATTAATCTTAACGAAACCGTCGGTAATTCGCAACTTTGTTCAAAATAATTTTCAGGTGAAGAAGTATGATACTGGAAAGGAAATTTTAAAGGAGTTCGAAAAACCACTGAAAACTCAGCATTTACTCTTACAGAAAGAGTTTTAATGAAAAACCCTGTTGGACCGTCCGTCGATTCAATGAAAACCCTTTGAATGAGAGTAATCGTTCAAGCGTTTTCCTAGTATGACAGGTATCAGAGACGAGCCGATGAAGAAAGTTTCACGTCTTCGAAATAAGCAGGCAAAAATATGAAATATTGCAGTAAATAATGGAAGGAACAGTGGTAGTTTTATGACTAATATTCTTTCTAAGTGGGCGAAATTTGTTGTCGGTCAAACTGTAATGAAGTAATAATGTAAATTAAAGAAAAACGCATATAAATGGATTCAAAACTCAAACTTGAAGAGGAGAAGTTGCAGTAAAAAATTCGAAACAATGTAAGATTTTCATGACCCGTTTCGAAAAAACATAGAAAGCATTTCAGCTATTCCCCAAATATCTTTTCAAAATGTCGCGAAAGAACTTCCTTGTCGACTTGATATCACTAGCGCATCCAGGATTTCCATTCAAGGGAGGGGGGTGACAGAAAGAATTTATAAATGAAGGTGCATGGCCCTAGCCTAGCACTCTGAATTTTCTCTTCATGCTTCCCAAAGTCTTCCCAGGCCCGTAACCCCGAAATTTTGAAAAAGGGTGGCGTGGCTATTGCCATGCCCAGAAAATTTTTTTGCAACAATTTGAATTTTTCTTCTCAGAGATTACCTTGATTATTCATTGGTATGAACAAGTATTTTTGTAATTCTAAGTAACTTTCAAAAATTCCGCGATCCATTCCTCAGGGGGGAGGGGAGCCTCCCCCTCGGTACGCCACTGCTTGATATTTGTTCCCTCTCAGCGTTCCTCTAACAGTAGCTGCGCACCTTTGATCCCAGCTACCGGGTTTGGTCACTATAGAATGGAACCAGTTTTCTACCCGAACCTCAGCGCAGCATACTTGTCTCAACGACTAGCTATTCATGAGCCGGCTCCCTCCTTTCCCCCCTCTCCCTCCTCTCCGTACAAAATGCAAATTGTTCATTTTAGCGTCAGCCAGTTTTTATGGACAATGCGTTGATCATAGTTGACATTGAAGCGGAGTGGAAAAACCTGGACTCGAATGACCGCCGCTTCGACTTAGTGAATGGCTTGATCCTTCTTGGGAAAGAACTGGATATTTGCAGATGCTTGCCGGTGTAGCAAACAATGCAATTGCAAGGTGAAATGCCCTTCAATTGTCTTTTCGCTTTTTGCGCGATTTTATGGAATAGGATGCAAAATGGAGTGATCGCAGCCGTTATAGCCATTATCGAGAGCATCCACTCTCATAAGAGATCCAGATCCGCCAATAATCGACCTTGAATGATTGGATGACACCATGCTAGAAACTTTTGGAATGTAAAATTCAAAAAGAAATTCTTGTTGTTAGTAGTCTGCAATAAAGCTACGTGCTTTTTTTTCCCACATTCTTTGCCAGAGAATTATTTTCGCAAAAGGTTTTTGTTTCAGGGCCTATTACCTTTTCTGTTTTCTTTTGACCACACACATAATGACTACATTTCCTTTTAATATTCCATATTAAGGCGTAAGAATAGAAGAGATGAGATATTTTGAAAGCAAACGAGATAAAGGTTTAGAGATCTGTAGCTGTAGAACCTGGTTATTCAAGTTTTCAAATTGCTAATTTCCGAATGTGGGACTATTTCACAACTAACCCCAGCAACTATTTTGGAATTATTTTGAGTATGTTCCAATAATTTTTTGAAATTAATTCATTCTTCAGCAAAAGATAGACCTGACCCATCTAAAAAGGATTTTCTTGAACTTATCCAGATTGACCAAACATTAAATCTACTCGAACTTTTGCATCTTCTGTTCTCTCAGCTTTTTTCGTAGTTTCGAAAACATTTCTTTTGTAGTGACCCGGTAATTCACATCATAGCAGTATCTTTCGAACTTCGAAGATATAAAAAGTGCTGGAGAGAGGTCAGGTCGATTCATTATATTTGACGTTTCAAACTAATGGAAGAGATCAGCTATTCAGCATCCGCACACAAAGAGAAAAAGAAGAGTCAAAAAAATTCTTTTAGATTTTCGAAGATAAGTTTTTTTTATTGATCCAACGTTGTCCACCATTTCTCCCCAATTTTGTATGTAGAATCCGGTATGGTTTTCAAATTCACTTAGACAGCAGAAAAGGAAGCAATTGAAAAGTGATTGATTCCATCTAGCGGTTTCCGTTCGAAACGTTCTCATACGTATGATTTGTGGGTATTATTGCATTGGTGAAAACGAAATCGAGACCGAGAACTGGATTCCGCTAGCTATGTTCATTTCCGGAACACGAGAAGAAGTTAGATAGATCTACGTTGAATCTGATTTAAAACATAGCAAAACAAACGAACAGAGATGCAGTTCCAAACTCTAGCAAAAAATTTCGAATCTTTTCATGGTATTGGTGTTCGGAAAATGACTGAATACCCTCTTTCCTACGTGACTTTGAAATAAGTTTTGATAGTATGACCCCTTCGAATCTTTTTCGGCGAAAGACTCGTCCTCGAAGTTTCATAATCATTGATGTTTCGCATGAAAAACATATCAGAATGATACTGATTAATCAAAATTTATTCAATAGTTCAGCCTTTCAGATAATCAAACTTTAGTTACTTTTAGCAAATTTCCTTTTTTGAAGTGAGCAAATTTTGTAAAAACAGCGAACAATCATAATAATTTTCGGAAACAACGGTCAGGGCAGGAAAACCTGCGCGATTCAACCAAGACGACCGATAGCCGCAATATAAAAAAAGATTTACTGAAATATTTTTCTAGTAGTTTGATCTATTTCTCATAAAGATTTGCAATGCATACAGTGTTGTTTATCAAAAATTCGCAAGATGAAAAGAATGGTAAAATAACTGGCGCAAAAGCCGTCGAAAAATAATTCTACATAAGACACTCTTCTCAATGCCTATCATTTCAATCTAGAATTTTTCGCAAACTCAAAATTTCTATCGACCATCAGTGTTTCCGTCACTGTTGTAGAGGGAACGGCAAGGCTACTCTCATATGAGTCAGAAATGTCGATGCAAAATGAGGCGTGAGAAATGAAATGTTGGCGGAGGGTGTAATGAATCGAACGAATGGTATTATAACAAAAACAGTTGGTGTAGGGTTCAAGGGCGCAAAATATTGAAAAAAAACTTTGAAAAAGAAGGAACACACAAGGACTTACCGCTCCAGCTCGTAGCGGTCTTTCCGGTAGGACCACTTTCACAGCTCGTTTTCGAGCCATCTGAAATATGACAAATAAGTAAAAATATAATATAGGGATTTTCGAAGCCTAAACGGACTTAAGTGTTTATAAATCTTAAGTGAATAACGAAAGGCATTGCGATAACAAGTAGTAGGAGCATTTTCAATTCCTCAATTCACAAACTTTCTCATAATTGGAAAAAGTAACGATTATTTTGGATTAACACGAACGCGGTTGAAAGAAAATGTGACGTGTATATATTAAATAATAATGAATGAACATTGAAGAAACGAAATTTTAGACTTGTGCAGAAGAAGTCAGAATTGATATAGTACATGAATTTAAAATCCTCCAAACATGACAGCGTAATTGGCAAAAAATAACAGAATGAATGGTTTTTTTTTCCAAATTCAACTTGTCAACAATAAACCAAGAATGAATTTGGTTAGCCCGGCTTATAAGCATGCGAATAATAATTATGATTATATATCTCTAATATATTCGTAAACAAGTAAACATATCTAGAACTTACCCGAAACACCGACTTCGTAATGAAGTTACCGCTCTCCCTTTCTCTCAAACCCTACTGTTCTTATCTGTCTAACTACCATCTCAAACCGAAACCAGCCTCATAACCGTGACTAATAATTGATTACAGTTAACACAGTGCTTTCGAAGTGGGCACTCTTGATGTTTTAACAATTCGCTAAGACGATTTCACTAAGTGAGTGTCGAAGCACATGCGTAATCGAAGAGAACCTGATTCCGAGAGCCTTGGCGTGCAAAGAAAAACATTGGTTTCATGTAAGTGTCACTTCGCAGAAATGTCGCGTCACAAATAGCTGATGAAGTGTGGGCGGGGAACGGGTGGAGATGGGGGCGGGGGGGGGGGGGGGGGAGGATGCGAGAAGCGGAAAGGGGAGGAGGATAAAGGAGAGATATTATTGCTAGCTTAATGAAATACTACAACTTATTCGCTACAAACTTACGGAAGATAATTATGTGGATTAAACGGAAAGGGAGGGTAAGGGGAGGGTTGGGGGGGGGGGGGGAGGGGAACAGGGTCTAACTCCTATCGTGCAATTACATTACTATGCGTACGTACTATGATTACTGTGCGTACGCATCTTCTTCATTATAAAATGCTTATACGATATGCATAGTATTGTTGTTGAAAAAATATATACGCTATTCCTAAGGGCAGAAAAAAGAATGTAAGATTAACTGCGGAGACACGATGGCAATGCGGGAAAAGTGGGTTGAGCGTGGAGGGGGAGAGAGAAATACATCCAAAAAGTTGGAAAAAAATGATTTTTAATTCCATTTTCGAACACTCAGAGAAGTAGATTGCATATTTTCCTTTCATACCAAAATTTTTCCTTCCCCCCCCCCCCCTTTCCCCCACCCCTTCTTCTCAGCCTCTTTGGTTTTAAGCTTCAAAGCAGTTAAACAAGGTGTTAAGTGATTAAGGGTCATCAAAGCTGCTTAAACTTACAGAAAATGTCTCACACCAACACAAAACTTGCCCTCCCAAAAGACAAAAAGCTTTCTTTTCCAACTCTTTTCCACTTTTCCACTCCACGTAGTACAATGCTTTCTTTAAGCGGCTGCTATTTCAGCATTAGAGAAGCAAATGCTTTACAAAACTAGTTCCACCGAGGTTTTCCAAGTTTTTCGACATAAATGCTTCCTGTTTTCTGATTTCACAGAACAGCACAAGCATAGGGATGAAAGATATATGACAGCAAATTTTGGATCCAATAAGATTGATGTGCAACATAGGGCTCAGTCCGAATAGGAATATGTTGAAACAAGGGCTATAAAAATGAAGCTCGTTTTCATCAAAGCGAGCGCACAATCGTATAATAAATAGATATCCAAGCGCTAAGTGATGCAAGGCAATTTTTTTCAGTGTAGTCTACGGGTTCTTCAAATTTTCATCTATGAAATTTGTCTTCAATTAATTTTCAAACATAATACGATCGCTCAATAATCATTTACAAGAAACGCAGATAAGGTAAATCAATGCCACTGAAGTCTGGAAGATTCTTCGACAGGACCTAAAGAGAAAAAGGAGAGGATATGAAGTTCAAAGAGAAAAAGGAGAGGATATGAAGTCCTGCAAAAATTATGTTTAAACTGATTATATGAATTATATTGTAAATTTCCTCATTTTTGGTATAGTAGGTCCTATAACTGGTGAGCGAGAAACTCTTAATGGGCAGCTCATTACTCAAGTAGAAAATAAGTTTTGGGGAATGAAAATAATTTCTTCTGTCTTCTTTGGATCTATTATATTTTGTAAAGCCAGCAAAAATTAGTGAAAAATGCAAGCGAGGGAGCAAAAAATTATAACTTACGAATATAAAAGGTCTTGACATAATTATGTGGTACTACAGCTGTACCGGTGCTGGAGATGATGGGTTGGGGTTATGACAGCCCTCGAGCTCGAGATTTTCTTACAGTAGGAGGGAGACACGAATAACAAGAGTGTAAATATAAATTCTGAGTCCTTTTAACCTAGCGTAAAAATATTTCGACTACTAGAACATTCGGATGTTCACTGAAGTGGTGAGAGATTATTTACTGAAGCGTAAACTTTCGCACTCGGACAACTCCTCCCACCAGTAAACTAACTCTGGTATGCGAGGAACAGTCAAGGGTTCTAGGGCGGGCCTCCCCCCGCACTACCAGTTTCTCCCCCTATCCCCCCCCCCCCTCCCCCTTCCTCTCTTCGCCCTACAGCGAAATGACGGTTAGCTATATAATAATAGCCTCTGAATAAGCCAAACATTATATCTTCCTTCTTCTGCTTCCCTTCCAGCCTTCTGTTTTCCACGCCCCCTTCCACCTATTTTTTCCCCTCTCCTTTCCCCTCTCCTTCCTCCTCTTTGGCGTCCAACAATAGTAAGCTAAGATAAGATCATTAGCGACATCATCACGTTGTTATCGTAGTCATTACGAATTCCCATAAAAGTAAAAACATAACATCCGTAGCTTTTTCCCCTTCTATAAATCATACCGTGAATGAGTCTATTGGTTCCGTCAAAAGAGCTGAGGACGTGAATGGGCCATACTATAGAGATCTTTGGAGATAGTTTGTAAAGAAGTCGAGGGCCTGGGTAACAATAGAACTCGTTCCGGAATGTTCCATAAAGCAGCGTATTGTTATCGATGCGGGTCTGTTAATGTGATAGCATCATCATGGATTGGAAGCTTGTTGGCCAAGGAATCCAGCCGAGTTACTTGGACGAGTTTGGGGATACGTAGTGGCCACATAGCATGGGCTTTATCTGAAGGGGAGAGGGGGGAGGAAACTCCTTCTACAAGAGCTTTATCCTAGTCCCTGTCAAGTTTTAGAGAATCAGTACATCATATGTGAAGTAAGCTCACAAGGTGACAATTGAAGCGGACGCGACGTTTTTTCTGCAATTATGGACTTGATCTGATGAAGTCCCTTTAAACAAGCCGCTTTCGTTTTAACCCCTCATATCTCAAGTGATTCTTTTGCAAAAAATCTCAAATTCGAAATCCGGCTATAACTCCGCTCTGAACAGCCTCTTGACAAGAAACTGTGCTAAAGTCCGTAATCACACAAAAACAACCCAATGTAGACAAGCCGTGAAATTCGGTCCGCGACGCAGCTACTTACGAACGAAATTAGTGTTAAGATGTTACGGAAGAATTGCTGAGAAGAACGCGATGGAACACCCATGAACTAGAACAGAATGTCAAAGAAGAAATTTGTCCGAGACGTAAAATTGCACTAGTTTCCGTCTCATTACAGTGCTAGCCCAATTTATAGCCGATCTCGTGTGTAATTAGATGTAAAAGTAGGTCCGCACATTCAAATTAGATTTAGATGCCAAAAAAGGGGTGCCTTGTTGTAACCACATTTTTTTTGTATGAGGCTCAACCATGGAATTTTCAGAAAAGAATAAAAATGCTCCCATAGTAGTGGTAATTTCTTTTCTGAAAAGCTCAAAAGCTCAGAACGACCATAAATCATTTCTGTTTACCAGAATTTATAAATTCTACAGAGCCTAGTGACAAGAGTTTGTCCCTTTACCAGTATCCTGCAAACGAAGAATACCCAAGGTACACTATATTCAACGCCTGTTACTGTAAAATCCTCCTAAATATCGAGATTGTACAGCCAAAGCCTCCATGATCCAAGGTTCACAAATATTTCACTTATGAATACAAAATTGGCATTGACTATGCAAAATGAATCAAAATCTGTGCAGTTGCACAAAAAACAGTTGTTACCGGATGTGTGGAGCCACATTGCTCACACATTCGCGCACATCAGCGCATTAGCAGATTCTGAAAAAATTGAGGTCAAGGCGGCTGTTCGGATCACTCTACTGCTACTCTAATGATTGGAAAAACTGTATCAGGATTGGCTCCGAGCTTATGAGACAACAGCTATTCCGCACTTTTCTGAGACTTTCGAAGATCAGTTATGTTTCGGAATTCTCAACGGTTTGTGTCACTGACATTATTGCTTGCTTACTTCACTGACAAAAAATTAGTTTCCAGCTAAAGTGCACACATATTCCAAGATAGGACTGCACAACCAAAAAAGAAATAAGCTTGAAAAGTGCATACAGTCGAACTACTATATTCCTCTGCGCACACAACATATTCCTTTTCCTTTCTTCCCCCCCCCCCCCCCGCGCTCCCCGTCCCCACTCTCCCGTCTCGTTCTTTGCTAGCTTGCTTCACCATATGCTATTAGCTGGTGTAACCTCTGGTCTCGCTTCCAAGATTTCATCTAATTACCCCTCAAATTCTTGTTTTTTCTTAAACCCAGGAGTTTGTTTCTATTAGGAGAACAGAAAATTAGCACAAATTAGTGCTTTCGCTTGTTACGCGAAAGCAGAGGTTTCATTGTGAACCTATTAGAGCTGGAAAAGGCTGTGAACGGACTGTGCTGAATGTATTTTACTCAAAAGAATTGAGGCTCTTCGTTTTTTCTTCACTAGCTCATTTTGGAGTTTTTAACTCTGATAACAAGAAACCAAGCATATATAGCA